GGGGGTGGTGGGGCTATCACAATGTGTTTCATCATGGTCTCCATCATCTTGGACATGTTCGAAACTTGTTCTTCGAGATTTAAAGTGTTTGTCATTATAGCAGGCATTGCAGCAGAAGAGACAGCGAGATCTTCAATAAAAAATTTTGATTGAAGAGTTTCATGGGAAGAGGCTGATCCGGTGCTTGATGAATCATCATCATACTTCATAAATTTGGATTCGGATCCAAGTTCGAGCATGGCAAGAGCCTTCTCAATCGAGGCAGGAACGTCTTTGATCCCCACCGTGGAAGAATAGCTCATTGGTGATGTTGAACCAAAGACGGGATTTGACGCCGATGGAGCTTCCATGCTACTTTGGATGGAGACTCTCGTCATACTCCTTGTCACAGGACCAATAGCGTGGGTATTAGTGGCAACATGTGTAGCTTCCTGAACAGGCTTAGCATCAGTTGCCTTGGAACGTGCAATCATGATTTTGTTGCTCTTTGGTGCCATCGGCGATATATGTAGTTGAATATTCGAAGAGAAGAGATGGTCCCACTGGGCGTGCCAAAAATTTGTACGCGATAAAATTTCAAGTCTGTAAAAACAAGAAATATACACGACAAATATGTAATATATAAATTTAGAATAATTGTGAATACAATTTCTGGGAGTTTCTCGAACTTCTAGAGAGTTTCCTTCGATTCTTCTCCTCAAACGCCAATCCAAGGGCTTCACAGCTTGCTCTTGGATCAACCATCGACTCCCTCAAATCTTGATATGGAAGATTTGAAGGACTTGGAAGATATTTGAAGACTCAAGTCTTGATATATGGGAGACTCGGAGAGCTTGAAGATCCGGACTCTTGTAGTGTGGAGTTTCGATACTTGAACGTATGAGATGCCTCTTGGTGTGTCTCTGTGTGTCGACTTGGTAGAGAGACCCCTATTTATAGTTGTGGTATGAGGTAGAGGTTGAAAACATGTATACCACTCTACTTGTCTTGCGAGACATGCAGTCATATTAGAACTGTGCCAGTTAAATATTATCTCTTCATTTTGAAAAGAGATAATACCAATAGCTAATTCCTTGATTGGCCAAACCTGTAGGGACACGTGACGTGGCGCCATTTGATTGGGCAACGTATTGTAGTATATAAGAAGTATATATGGACTAAACAACTCCAAATATTATCTCTTCAATAAGAAATAAATATTTAGATATCTATCCAAAATTCTGTCAGGTCATATAGACATGTGATATGGTACGATTTGGTTGGTGGAGATATCCCTGCAATTTGAATTGATTTGGAACACCTCCACGTGACACGTGGCAAAATATAATTGGCTATTTAATAACCAAAATTTTCAAGTGTACATGACATATGGCAATATCCAATTGGATAAAAATAAGCCATAAAAATGATTTATAGACCAATGGTAATTTTTAGAATTTAATTAAAATTCCATTGTCTACAGTTGGTTAACATTATATTTAGTGAAATAGCTTGGTCATGGGCATATGAACCCTACCTAGACAGATGATATCATGAAAATCTACAAAATCGAATGGGTCCTGATAAATATGCAGTCAGAGAAATCTATCTGCATGCAAACAGCATATATGAAATCAGATTGAGGACCCAATTGGTTTATGAAAATGCCGATTGATTCAGGAAAATGAAGATTGTTTACAACATTTATGGCCCAAGGGATTTGGAAAAATAGTTTCGATGAAGACGCAGTGAAGATTCAAAAATAATTGTCGTAAAAGAAAGATTTGAACAGTTAGATTCAGTTGTGTCTTTCAAGTTTAAATTTGCTTTGTTCTTAAAAAAACTAACTTTTCCTGACATTATTACATCTCTTTACTGATGACTTTTCACAACTCAATTATTTTGCTTATGATACGGTGGTACTGATGAAAAATCAATATTTATTTTGCTATTAATCATTATTTATTTTAGGTTCTATCTAATGGGTATCTACCGAATAAATGTATTTTATGTGTTGGATTTTTGAAAATGTAAAGCCAATTTAGGAAAGTATATAAATGCAAAGAAAGGTATTAATTATTAGTATGTACATATACATTACAGATTATGTGAAATTTAGTTGTGTTGACGGTGCCCAACGGGTTAGAAAAACTCTTAATTTTATGGACCACCATGGAATGATACGTCTTTTGAAGCTCTTAACCATGGACACAACTAAAGAAGTGGTGTTAATTTCCTTACGAGAAGTGCCATTTTGTCACGGAGACATGTCTATTGTCTCATCTTGATAATGTAGATAAGAACATGAGATCATTGACGAATGCATGTCTAGTATCTTTAATACATTTGCCATTAGCTTATTGAAAGGCTTTAGTCGAAGTTAAGAGAGAGTGCAGATTAATTGATGAGCTAATTTGGATTGAAATAATGGTAGCTTTATGGTAAATTATTTTTATCTTTGCTAGCTTTCTACTTTCATTCTTTTTCTACCTTTTGTCTTTGCGAGCAGTCTACTTGCATATTTTCAACCCCCGCCTGAATGGACAAACAAATTGTGTGCTACTTAATAGATCAGGTGGTTTTCAACAATGGAATCCAGAATCGCCAAAGTCATCCAAATATGTATTTAAACAAAGCTATGAATTCTCTTACTTACATTTAATTTAGCTATTTTCATGATTGTAAAGGGAATAGGACATCTTGTTATTTTTATTTTATCATGTGTATATTCACAATTTCGTTGATTAATAAAAAATAAGAATGGCATCTCTCCTCTGTATATGCGGTTGCAAAAAAAAAAAAAGAATAATAAAAGTCAATTCAAGATATAGAAAGGAGCAGTTTAATAGAGTAAGAATAAAAAGACTAAACAAGTTCGGTGATGAGGGCTTTTTTTGTAAGTTTATTTCCCTTCTTTTAGTTTCTTCCTTTGTGGGGCTGAGTTTGGTAGATTAGAGTTGGTAACGGATGAATATATATAACTAAAACAGAAAAAGCCTTATTGACTCCTCCCAAACTCCCTTTTGCCTCTTCCTCCTCCCCCACCCCCCTCTCTCTGAAAGACAAATACATACACTCAGAGATCTTCACACTATTTCTCGTTTCGTCAGTGAAATTTTTGGCCTTGCTTGGATTGTTGCCTTTTTTTTGGAAAAAAATATTACATTTTTCATGAATTACTTTTTCCACATTTTAAATCACTTTTTTTATCTCACACGCATAACAAATACATATACCTATATTCATATTATATTAAGAAGAGAACGTTAGATTTGTATATTTAGTTTTTTAACTTTCACTTTTTGAAATTATCACTACTGTAAACCCAATGACTCAAATGCTTATTTCTTTATTAACAACTATTGAGTCTATTTATCACTACAAGAAATTTGGTCTTTTGTGACAATATTATCAGTGATAAGCAAAAACTTGTCATAGTTGACCCATTCAGTGATGATTTTTGATGTCGTCACAGATGACCTCACATAGACCTATCATTAGTGACAACATAGGATTAGTCATCGCGATATCGGTTGCACGCAACCTGTTGGTGTGGCGGGAAATTACCTTTGTGATGACCTGGGAAAATGTTATCACTAAAGTGGTCCATATAGTGACAACTTCCAATATCATCACTGTTGCTCTACCAGTTGAGAGGTAGTGACAACAATTAGTCATCACTGTCTAAAGTATTTGTTCCTAGATCACTTTCATTAATTCTACTATGCCACCCTAACTTTTGGGATTTAGCCCCAAATATGATAAAAACAATTCCATTAATTCTATTGCGCTAGCTTAACTTTTGCAATTTAGCCCTATATGTATTACACCAATTTCTTTAATTCTACAATTACACCCTTACTTTTGCAAGTTAGCCCCATATGTAATTCATCAATTGCATTAAGTCAACTATGGCACTCTAACTTTTGCAATTTAGTCCCATATGTAATACATGAATTTTATTAATTCTACTATAACACCCTATGGTGTTGCAATTTAGCCTTTTTTTATTAGCAAAATACAGAAGATATCTTAATAAACTATGTATACATATTTTATAATTTTCCCAAACTTAGGTAATAATTTGTTATAAATGTAAAAAATATTCATACATTCCCTATTTATCCTGATGACAACATGGTTGAAATTAATAATTAGGATAATCTAAAAATAAAGTAGTCAACAGTAGAATTTAACAATAAACTGAATACGAAATTAAATCTAATCCTAACGTTTGCATGATAAAAAGGTTGTTATTAATTATAGTAGCCACATTTATCATTTATGAATTGATACTCATACCAAATAGATTTAGCGTTTCATACATCTATTTGCAAACTATTTTGATTGTTCAATCAACTAATCCGGTTGTCAGGTCTTGTTAGACTGTAAGTCATACATAATTGATGGCACCATAAAATGAGTACCAAAAAGATTTTGATTAAAAGAATGTTTATTTTTTTCAAATCATAAACATATTTCTAACAACATTTTTAGTTATTGAACTATTTTGTTGTATAATAAATTAGAAAAAGTCCTATATTGGTTAAAAATGCTTAAAAATTTTTGCCCAAACACACTAAATTGTCATATTCTATTTTTTTAATACAACCTGAGAACAAAAAAATAAAAATAAAACTCAAAATAATAGAAAAAGTTAGTTACATAAAGATGAGAAAAAGAAAAAAGAGAGAGATAGGAATAAGGACAAAGAAAGCGTGATTTTCTTGCATCTAAATTGGAAGAAAGCGTGTTATTTATATGTATGGAACTAAGGGCGGCAAACTAAAAAATTCCAGAGGCATGGCGGGCTGAAGGAATTTTAAGGAAATGACATGTTGGTTTGTTTGGATACCTCAATTATCCCAAATAATATTTGGATTGCATCATAGACACATTTTCCAACCCACCCTTTTATCTCACATACATCACATCACAAAAAGTGTTACAGTAATTATTCCAAATAATATTTTAAATAATACACTATCCAAACACTCGTTTGCTTCATTAGTACCCACTCTATGTCTGAAACACTTGGCCAAAATTTCAGACACCTCCCTTTCTCTTTGTCCTCCTCACTTCCCAGAAAATGAACTCCTCTATATCAACCGCACACTCCCAAATCCATCCATGAACTGAAGTTTGCCATTGTCATCAATTTGGGCAACTTTATCGAGCTCGCACCACCAACATCCCTAATACGGCTATTACACTGGCTTGGTGGCAAGAAATCAGAAATTAGGGCTTGAAAATTTGAGTGAAAGCTAGAGTTTAGAGCTTGAATCTAGGTAAAAAATTTTCTGCAAAAACTACCGTCCAAACAAGGGTACTGAGTACAAAAGTGTAGGTTCCAAAGGGCATGTATGGAATTTCATGATCGCTATTCTATTTCCTGAATCAATTGGGTTTCCTCTGCCTCGCACAAAAGCAGTGTTCCCTCCTGCGTGAAGCTTGTAGCTGTCCACACAGAGCCAAAGTTCCGGACAAGTGGAATTGGTAGACTTTAGCTTCTGTCCAGCAAGTATTGTAAAATTGGCTTGGATTTTTGCAGATTATGTTTCCTTGCTTTTACTTGCCCTCATTGCTTCTGGAATCTGGACTATTTGATTTTCAGGATTTTGTTGTCAATGTTATAATCTATTGTCAAAGCACAAAATTAGACATCTTTTTGAATTTCTGTTTAAATTCTTGTAATTTTTATGAACATTTACGATACAATTGCACACATTACAATATTGTTGGTGTACAGTCATCGTTGAAATTTGATAAAGAAACGATTTTGATAGCTCGAATATTTTATTTTGTGGCCTTTCCTATATTACGGTTGTCATTGTGGTAATTATTGTTATATTTTCGATGATGGAATTTTGCTAATTTGGCAACTTTTTGACGATTTTTTTTAATAAAGGGCCTTTCTTGGATAGTTAGCTATATAGACCATGTTTACAAGTCGAAAAAGCTTTTTTGATCAAATTGTGCTAGAAAATTAAAAAGATATCTAAAAGGTGTGAACTTGCTCAGGTTTATATTATTATTTGCTGTTATCAGTCATCTATGTAAGATATTTGTACGTGGTGATATTGTTTAGAATCTTAAGCTCATAGTGTTGGGTTAGTTAGTTGCTGAATTTTAGTTATCTTGGCTGATTTTTCCCGTTTGCCAGGAACCCTTTTGAGTGTTCGAAGATATTTCAAAGCATACTCAAGTTGTTTTAGTTCTACTACCTTATAAAGTCAATTGAAAAGTTATAAAGTTCTTCATGGTTAGGATGAGCTTATTATGTTATGGATTGAAGGCATAATTTGAGTTAATTTCAATATTTTGTGTCCGATTTTGCAATGCATGGTACATATTTTCGTTGCTATGGCTAGTTGCACCTTCCTGCTTCTTGTCAGATTTAGTTTTTAGGTTCAATCTTGTTAGTCTCCGATTTAAGCTTGAGCAAGTTTTGAATCCTTTTTGTTCTGTTCTTATAGATTTGTTGGATTTTCATGAATTGATTCTTTATTAGTGATTTTTGGCTAGAGTGCTGTGAATCTTGATTTGGGTTCTGGCAAAATTTGGTCAAATTCATTAGGTCTCTTTGGAAGTGCTATTTCTTATAGCTAAGAATAATAAACGAGCTAGTCCATTTTGGCTTTTTATGAAATTTGAAATCTGAGTTTTTTTTAAGGGGTGAACGCTTCAGTCTTGATTTGGTTTTTTGGTAAAAGCAACAAAGATTGTTGCTTTTTCATCCTTTTGTGGAGTTGGAGGTGATTTGAGTTTGTGGACTCGAGGAACTTGAGGTTGGTTTAATGTTCTTTTACTCGTATTCCACTGTAAGTACCAGGGATTCTTGCGCTCCCCCCCCCCCCCCCCCAAGTTTGAACTTGCATTGCTTCATCCAAAGGCTGGAATGCCTGAACTTGATATTTTTCACATAACATTTGCCTCTGCTCAGATTCAATAGTATATTTCCTCCAAGAAGCGGCCTTTTCCTTTTTGTCTTGGGGAATTCTTCATTTTTGACGGGTATGTCTTCCTTTTCAGTAACAATATTTTTATTGAATTGTTTAGATGCCCAATTACATCCTTGGATACCCTAGAAATCTCCCTTATGAGCAACAATTTCGATCTCTGAAGAGGCTAGTGGCCCAGAACTAACAACTTGATTAGTAAGAGGATCAACCAAAGCAACTTCTAAAGCAGTATATGCCCTTCTCCTTTTATTTATAGTCCAGTCAAAACTCAACTAGCCAATTGCTTGCTGAATTGTAGCTCTAAGCATCTTGTTTTTAAAAAATATCCATAATATTCAAAGATTTCGACAGCAAAAAGTTGACAGACAAGCAGATTAATATGTTCTGTACATTTTAAAATAGTCACAAATCCTTCCGTTCCAGTTTTTTACCTGGAAATAGATGTCAAAGGTGAGTTATATATTGGAATTCAGTTATTTTTACCACAAACTCGAGAACCAAAAGTAGTAGCTGAATCTATCCCACATCATGATCACCTAGGACTTAACATTGTTGATTTTACATGATGACATGAAATAAGGGGAATTAAAAAAAAAGGTTCACGAAAATTGAATATCACACTCAAAAGAAAAAAGTCCAGGAGATTACAATATAATAGTGGTACAAGACTACTATCATGTAAGACAATAGGATTAGTCAAAGGCAAAAGACAAAAGAAAGAAAATGCCCTCATTTATAAACATTTCACTGTCTATGATCATGTGTAAGCTAGATTAATTGTAACCGCAATTTCATCAAAAATAGGATTAGCACCTCTATGTCCTCTTACTTCCACTTACGCCCTATTTGCAAACTCAATAAGAAAGCATATACAAGAAACATGGTCAGGATGCATTGGAAATTCTGAAAAGTAAATATCACTTCAAATTGTAAAATAATTTGAAGTATCTGTGTACAAAAAACCAAACCAAGATACCCAAACTAATTAGCTAAGCTGTCTACTTTTTTGGTCGATGATTTTGTGTTTAAATTTTAGAAGCCTTGTATTAGTTTAGACAAAAATGCATAGATAATTGGTTGTGATACTAAAGATTTAAATGATATGTTCAATGACATAGGCACTGCACAATGGAAGGGGGGAATTGGTTCAATCGGAAAGAACATAGTGGAGAGAGGTTAAATGTGAATGAAAGTGAACTCGATACCTTCATTAGATTGTTGGAAGATGCAAAAAAAGAGCTCTATCCAGGCAACTAGTTTTACTCCAAGCTGATTAAGAACTTGCAGAGCAGCAACTTCAAACAAGAGGGCTATATGAGGATTTGATTGCCCAAATGAAAGAGTTACGCAAATGAAAAACTCCTATACAGGTGAAGACACAAGTTCTCCCCGTCTCCATTCTCTATTGCAACTACTGTTTCATTAAAAAATTCTTAGTTTTCTGGAAATCTGATTGTGATACATTAAGAGTGCTGCTGATATCACAATGCAATGCCTTGGGAATCATTTCAAATGATAAATGGATGGTTCTAAACTTGTTGGTTCTCAGTTGCTTATAATCTAAAGTTGATGTCAGCTTCTTGTTCTTAGGATACTTTAGGCAATTTATGCTGTTAGTTGCTTATATTTCGAATTTGCTGGCTATGCAAATATGTCTAACAAATAAGCTGTTTGGAAATAATTAATGATCTCTTTATTTTAGCTGAAACTTTATTTTGACCGATTCTTTTACTTCTTATCAAGTTGACAGTAGTTGGAGTCTTGTTTTGTATGACTATTCATTCAAATTCAGTAATGTAAGGTTGTAAAAGCATATTTTCTGACTACAGTCTATTCTAATGCATATAATGCTTTATTTTCAATGCAGTCCAGCTTGATATTGATCATGACGAGGCTGTTGGATATGATGATAAAGATGGTTGAAGTCTGACGTTAGTGCTGCAGTCTATGCTTTAGTTTAGAAATCTAGTACTCTGTTTTTTGAGAAGGATATGTATTGACTATTAGTGCTTGAACTGATTATGTGGGTTTTGGGATCCAATATTTTTGGTTGACTTCTGTTTTGATGAATTTATAGAATTTTATGGCCATATATGTGAATTTGTGGCTTCATTTTGGGTTAATTTTGCCTTTTGTCAAATTGAATGTTTTGCTATAATTTGTTGGAAATGCTATGGCAATGATATATTCGTAATGATCAATTTCAGCTCTTCAAAACAAAGCACAGTGACAACCTTTAGTGACGACTATTCTTGTCACTGAATAATAGAATTGATAGTGACAAGTTCAAGTTGTTATTATAAATTTCAAATTTGTGATGACTTTTGTTACATCTATGACAAAAATATAGGTGAAATAATGACAAGAAAAGTCGTCACAGAATGATATTCATTAGTGAAGACTTTTTCCTCGTCATTAAATAACAAGAATCTATGACGACTTTCAAAAGGTTGTTACATGGATCTATTTGTGATATAGAATCTGTGATAACTACGTGACAACAGAAAAATTCGTCACTATATTCATATAATGACGACTTTTCGGCTTTCCATGACCACTTTTGTTGTCATAAAAGACCGATTTTCTTGTAATGTATGTAAAACGTTCTTGTAAGAATTAAAGAGGTTTGGAAATTGAACTCCTTACGGAAATAAAATTCTTTCAGTGGAAGAATTACTACGTGAACTCATATAAAGGAAATATACGTGAGAGCAAGAAAACTAAACAAATTTACGATCCGTTGAATAAGGAAAGAAACAAATATTTCGTAATCAGTAATCGATTCATAACTTTAAGAATTTGGAATGATAGAAATAGTCTAATTTTAAAAATAAAAAAAAAAGATTATACCGAACTAAAATTAATTAATGATAGGTGTATTTTGGACAAGTTTGTGATGGCATGCTCATCTATTTCTGAAAGCAAGACTGGAACCAAAACTCCTTGAACCGCTGGTACAGATTTTTAATGCTTTTTTATATTTACAAAAATAAATATACTTTTAAACATTATTTGGGCTAGGAAAAAATGTTAATACCTACCTTGATTATGTCTTATGGTTCTTCTAATGGGTGCCTACTGGGTACTCATTAACATCCATAAAATTTACATATCCTACTATGTATATACATATACTATCAATTATTACTCTCCATTGCATTTATATACTTTTCCTATTTAAGTTTACCTACCATCTTTTGTATTTGCATATTTTCTCTAATTAATCTTACATTTCAAAAAACATAACATTTAAAATATATTTTAATGAGTGCCGAAATGGGCACCCATTAGACACACCTTATTTCTTATTAGAATACAATGATAAGAGCAATAAAGAAGGGATCTAGCCTAACTATTATTTACAAAATCGGCATAGGAATAGTTTTTCTTACCTTCTATCTTCTATTTTATTCGAATCATTATAAGTTCTTTGGTTTTGATTTTTAAGAACTATATATTCTTTGTTTTTATGATTTTAAATACTAAATGTGAAAGAAAAGGATCCTGGAGTTTTATTTCCTTATAATGCATTTTTTTTCAGTATCTCCTTTATGTCAATTTTACTTCAAGGAAATAACTCTAGATCAATTTTACTACATTATTTCCTTTAAGTCAAAAGCCTTTTTATTCTTTTTGAGGCCATGTAGTAGTATGATTAGTGTTACATTAGGAAAATAAACTTATTAAAGTCAATGTCCAACTTGAACAGAATTTTAGGGGTGATTTTCAAAAGTAAGTGAAGAACATGAAAGAAACTTTATCAGGGTATGCTTAGAAACTAAACATGAGTTGGAAATCTACATATTAAATTTCATTTTTTGATCTTAAGAAAGAAGAAAAAAGACTTATGACTAACTACATGCAAGAAACAGGCACCAATAGAAGACAAACCCAAAAAAAAAACACAGATAAAACAAAGAAATTAATATTTTTAGTTCTATCATTTTCAAACTTTTTTTTTTGGAAAACCCCGGTAAAGGGGAGGGACGCTACCCGCGCTTTTATTCATAATAATCCGAGATACAAAGGGCTAATATTTTAACAATTTGTGTTTCTAGAGTTAAGGTTTGTTCACCCTCCTAACAGAAGGCAATCCAATGAAATCTAGTTGAAATCCCCCACGAGCCAAACGTGGCTAATCAGTCCAATGCTCATATATTTTGATAGTCTGGTGAGAATGAGCTACCCCAACATTTGCCAGAGTATCCGCCACCTGATTAGCCTCCCTGAGGCAGTGGGAGAACCTAGTAGGTACGTCAATCAGCTTCCATATTTGCTGGGCCTCCAATCGAATACGCCATGGGCACTTGATATGATGTTGCAAAACCCCAACCAGTAGTAGGGAGTCTAGCTGAACATTAATATTTGTAATTCCCTTTTGAGCACATAAACGAAGTCCTGTCAAGAGAGCCAATGCCTCAGCCCGGATCAGGGGCGGAGCCAAAAAAAAATCTAGTGGGGGCAAAAATAACACTAAAATTTTTTATCTACTATTTTTCTAATTTTTTAAGCAAAAAAAAGTCTCATGCATAAAATCACCATTTCACAAGTTAAAATATTTATCAAATAACCCATTTATTAGTTATTACATTAACTAATCAATTTTCAAATTTCTTTAAAATAGTAATAGTCTCATGCTCTAGAAATATATTTGCAAATAAATTTAAAATAATAATAATAAGAAGTAATTGTTTAGAACCTGATTTTGATGGTCTCCTAAAGTTGGTGAAAAGAGCTGCAAAACATGGCGGACCCAAGTCCTAGAAGATCAATTGATTCTGGTGCAATCTCTAAATAGGATGAAATGATCAAAAGAAAGTGTAACAAGATTTGGTTGTGGAAAAAAAATGGCTCTCGTATGTATGTTGGGGAGTGGGAACAACCGAGAGCCAGATGAGGAAAGGGAAATTGAGGAGTGGGGACAAAGGAAGTAAATGATAATTGGATGAAGTGATAAAAAGAAAAAGTAGTTGGCTTGGGTGTGGAAGAAGAGGAGCCGGTTGTGAAGGGAAGTGGGGGACCACAGGAGTAAAGGGAACTTGGGTAGTGGGGACCAGAAGAAATGACTGATATAATTGGTACTTGGCCCTGTTGGTGGGAAAATGGGAACACTAGAGGAGGAAAGTGAATGATATAAATTTTGTGACCTATTCTTTCACATTTTTTCTAAAAAAGTTCCGGAGGCACCTTTAAAATTATGTCAAAATTATAGATGTATTATAGGAATTTAAGGGGGCACTGGGGGCATTTAAGGGGGCACTGGGGGCACGGGCCCCCAGTGCCCCACTTTAAATCCGCCCCTGGCCTGGATACAAGATGCCTCGCCGAAGAAAGCTGAGAAGCCAAACAAGGGGCGCCCGACTGTGTCCCGTATAACTCCGCCTCCACTAGAAGTCCCATGATTACCTTTGGAACAACCATCTGTATTCTCCCCCCTCCCCTGGTTTCCATTGAATTAGTTTGAAGTCAAACCTCTTTTATGTGTGATGACACCAGTCATACAACTGTGTAAATGTCCGCGACCGAATATGCTCTTTACAATGACCTTCAAGTCTCCAAGAAGATGTCCTGACAGATAGAAGGGGGATGCGGCGCGATTGCTTCAAAAATTGATATTAAAACAAATAAATTAATATTTTTAGTTCTATCATTTTCAAACTTATTCTTGTTATTCATGCACGATTTTTTGTGCGTGCTTTTGCCGAACTTCTAACTTTAGTTAAACTTTTAGTAAACTTTTAAGAAAAATAATTGTAACATGTGTATCTATTATACTCATATGGTATTTTACTAGCTATATGGATGACAAAGAGAAAATTTTTAAAAAAAAACATCGTGTAAGCAACCGTTTGACCCAAAAAAAAGAAGCAATCAACTGCTCAAGGTTCGGTTTCTATGAGTTATATAGGAATTATGCTTGTCAAAAGTCACCAAGAAATATCCGAAAGTAATGAATTTTAGCCCTATCATCTACACGGTTGATATTTTGCGACGTCGTTCTGTGGAGTTCTAAGAAGTAGTTTTTTAAGAAAAGTGAGATTTAAATTCAGAAAGTGTATAAAATATAATTGCAGCAATTATTGTCCTACTTACAAGGCTTCAGGCACAAGAAACTAGCATAACATGAAGCCTTGTAAGAAACTAACATAAGATCAATTAATAAGAATGTTCATCAAGATTAATCAAGACAATATACAGTGCATATTCGTATGATTAGATCGTACCTAGCAATTAAACAGCTAATAAACAAGTCAAAATTACTCAATTTAACATAGCATCTCCCAATAATGGAACCAAAATCTTTTTAAAAAGAATAGATTTTTTAGGAGTCTACAATTATTTTTGTCAGTAGCCAATTAACTTTTGCTTCCACTAATTTATAACTTTAAAGTAGATTTTTTCCACTTTCTATGATTAGATCGTACCTAGCAATTAAATAGCTAATAAACAACCCAAAATTGCTCAACCTTTTCTTTTAGTATAGGTGAGAGGTTTCAAACCCGAGAGCTGCCCTCGCACGGTTCAACCCATTCCTCTCCATACTAAATTTAACACAGTATCTTCCAATAATGGAACCAAAATCTTTTAAAAAGAATAGATTTTGTTTTGGAGTCTAGGTTATTCTAGAATCATTTTTGTCAGCAGCCAATTAACTTTTGATTTCGCCAATTTACAACTTTAAAGTAGATTTTTCTTTGGGAAAGTAATTTTAGCGAAAATTTCTCTTACCGAAGGCACCTTCCAGTCAAGAATTACGAGGCAAAAAAATACTTAACATATACATTTCCCTTAGAGCAAAAATACAGTAATGGCAAGTTTCTCACCTTTCTCTCACCTATAGCCTATATAAACTACCCTAGCTAGTCATTGGTATCCACCGCATAAACCCTTGTGGCAGTTCTGTCCAAATCTTGTCGAGGGCAAAATGTTGAGAGAAACCATGGGGAAGTTATGTTCGAAAGGTTTCGACAAGGGCACCAGCCATAGGAAAGCACCACCTCCGGTTTGGTGCCCATTGAGGTGCACTCTAGACGAGCTCTACAATGGAGTGGAAAAGAGGATCAAGTTTCCCGGAGGACGCATGAAGCTCCTCCCTGATCCTGGGTATGTATATGTTTTTTGTAATTAACATCTTTCCTTATTCCTACATCTAAATTAATATGACAAATTTA